TACATTCCTTATATTATGATCCCAGGTCTCATTCTAGCTGACCACGTCATGAACACACCCTTGTTACCTACCTTTAATCTCGTTATAATCATATTCTAATGCCTATAACATTATATTTATGATTATACTAGTCTCTCCCACCCGTAATTCATAATACCTTTATTATATATTATCCTAGACAAATATTGTATATAAAGTTATTAACCTACCACGAAATAACCTTTTCAAGGGGCACCAAAAATGATAACAGTACTTAATATTTAAGATATTATTATTATTATTATTATTATTTATATTCTTTCTTGATAATTTACAATCATAGGCTATATAACTATTTTTATCATAATTATAATAGATCTTGTTTTGATTGAGATGACTATTAGAATTTTGATTATTTTAAGTTAATAGTTTTTTATCTGTTCTATAAGGTTAGCTATAGCTTTACTCATATCATTTACTGAATTTGGGATAATAAAGAGAATGCCAAGATTTTGTAATATGAAAAATATAAAGTTAAGAGAGTTCTGATAAGTCTATTTATAACTAGACTTAGTATTAATTACTTTTATGATTATTATATCTAGAGTATCTGAATTAGATTTATTTACATAGAAGGTAACTTCTGATTTTAAGTCTTTTACAAATTACTTAATATAGTAAGTGATAAGATATGCTTATATTAGATTAATTTTTCAAAGTAGTGTATGGACATCTTCTGTATAGGAAGTTACATCTTTATTTATTTCTTGCATTCTTAATTTTAACTGTTGTTGCTATATCAAGATTTGGATATTTATTCTAAATTGAGTAATAAAGATTTGATAAAATAAATTATTATTATTATTATCATTTCAGCTAATAGATCAATCAGTATTTACAAGTTTATTCTGCTAATATTATATTGATATAATTTCTCTTAAATATATAAGTATTATCTTAATCTTTCTTGCATTTACTATATTATTTACATTTACTAAGCACTTGAATTCTTTAATTCAGTTTATGAGATCCTTGTGTATTCTACTATTATAAAAAGAAAGTGAAATTATAGATAACTTAACTTATTAATTTTGTTAATTTTATATTATAATTATTAATGAACCTAATACTTGAACTAAAGTTTATATAGCTTGATTTGTTATTTTTTCTTGATTTCTTTGAAGTTATAGTAAAGATAAATCTAAAAGAATAGAAAGCTGAACTTCTTCTAAAGACTCTTCTTCTATTATATTTTTGGATTGAACTGAAGCTCTTCTTTTATATAAAAGATTAGTAAAAAATATGTTAGGAGTTGAGACTGAAGTGAATGATTATGGAACTGATGTAGAAGTTTTGACTAGAATACTAATTGAGATACTAGATCTTGATCACTAAGTATAATGTGATTTCTGTTAATTAAATATAATAATTTTCTTGTGTAAGTTATAAATGATACTAATAATTTCAGTTGGGATACAAGTTAATTATTTCTAAAATCAAAGTTATAACTGATATTTGCTTATTGAGACTTCTTTCTTTGATATATTAGTAATAAATAAATTATAAATTAGTTAGTATAATTTCTTTTCTAGTTATCTGAATAATCAAAGTGAATTGAGAAAGTTGATTAATCTATGAAACTATCTTTCTATTTCATAATTAGTTGATTTTGTTAGGTTCAATTTGAATTATTTTATTGGTTAACAATTTTATTTCCAGTTTTGTCTTCATAGAGAAGGTATCAAAAAGATTATTATCATTTTAAGATTATGCATATATAATTATTTTAAAATAATAATAGTAATTATGTTCATGATAATTATTTATTTTTATAACTTTAAGAGATTATATGACTAATTATTTTCTTAATAAGATAATATACACAAAATTTACTTCTGAAAAAATATGATTATCTTTTCAATAAGATAATTTATATGTATTTTACTTCTAATAAAATTTAATTATCTTCTTAATAAGATAATATATATAAGTTTTACTTTTGATCAAAATACTTTTTCAATAGAGCAAGAAGAAATAAAGATAAGATATGTAATAATATATATATTTTATTAAAGAAAAATACTAATTAATTATTCTTAACTTAGTAGCTAATTCTTTCTATCAAACTTAATTATTTTTTTTTATCACTTTTTAACTCTCTATATATAATATTTTTCTTGTTATACTAATTACAAATTATTTCTAATATAATATTTTATTTAATTTACTCAAGAACAAGTAGAATTTGAAAAGAATAGTCACAAAGAATATTAAATATATAATAATAAAGAATTAAAATTAGCAAAATATTAAGTTATTTAAAGCTAAAGTAAGAAATAAAAGAAAATTAATAATAATTAATTAAGAAATTATTAATTTTATAAAATTATAAATTAAATATGATACACATAGCTAAATTAATAAATAAATAAGACTAAATATAGATAAATTAAAAATAGAATTAATATTAAATAAGATTAATTAATATAAATTTCTTATTCATCTGATTTAGTAATAATCAGTAATTATTGTACTATACTATAACTGCATTATATATTATACTATATTTACTATATTATATAAATAGATGATTAATTATAATATTATTAAACATTGATATTTAATAATCTATACTATTAAATAATAATAATCTATACTATTAAATAATAATATTTAATAATATACATTATTAAATAATAATATTTAATAATATATATTATTAAATAATGATATTTAATAATATACATTATTAAATAATGATATTTAATAATATACATTAATAAATAATGATATTTAATAATATATATCATTAAATAATATATATTGATAACTCTGATATATATTAATATATATTAAATATCTATTTTAATATGTATCAATAATTCTGATATATATTAATATATAACTAATAATAAAAATTAATACAAATTATTCCAAAAAATTTTCTGATATACTCTTTTCTATTAATATCTTTTAAACTTTAAAAGTCTTAATATAATAAGAAAATGATATTCTTAGAATAATAAAATAAATCTCTCAACAATAAAGTAGTTCTTAAAATAATAAAATAATCTTCTTACTATAATAAAATAACTTTCTTAGTATAATAAAATAATTTCTTTAAAATATATACTTTTTAAAATATGTATTATTATCAAATATATATATAGTTTAAATTGATATTATAATAATATTAGTCTAAATTATAATTAATATAATTAATATTAACTAATAAAATTACAAATATATAATAAAATTATATGTAAAGTTAATATATCTTTATATTAATCTTCTAATTTTATTATAAAAATTAAAAAGTTTGATATATTATAACTTCTTAAAAAAAATTAAAATAAAAAATACTCTTATAAAATTATAACTTTACTAAAGATCTATTAATTTATAAGAGAATTTTTTTATTTTAATTATTTGTTCAAAACTTATGATTTTTTATAAATTAGCTAAAAGTGAATATCTTAACTGTATATATATTTTTATTACATAATTTTTCTAAGCCAATCAGCTTTTAATATTATTTTTCACGTGACTATTTAAAAATTTCATTTAAGGCATGTGATCAATCTCACGTGAAGCTCATCGTTTAAAATTTCCCGAATTTTTGACCATATATTTCGGAGACCGACTCGTTAAAAATTCAACACCTTGAGTTGAGTAGGACCGGACAGGACTTTTAAAATCCCTATCCAAAACCAATAGAAAGAATGGAAAATTTAAGAAATGTGATCCAATATTAGTTCCTCTGCAATTTTTACACTCTTTCGTACAGTGATTTATCATGTATTGTTTATTTTATAGGAAATAGACGCGAGATCCGTTATTTTATTAATAAAAAATTCGCTCTATTACACCACAGTTGACCATCATAAATGGATATTAAAACATTTATTTCAACCACTCAGTCTTAAGGAAGACGAGGTGTGTTATTTTTACATTCTTAACTAAAATACTAGTTTTTTACGTTCAACTTGACATACCTTTATATAATAATATTTTTGCCTTTTTTGTAGCATCTTCAAGTATTACACTGTTCAAATGCTCGTCTATCTTCTTTGATACAAGCTCAGACTCAACGAAAAGCTCGTAATTTATACACATCTGAGAATTTGCCGCATGATCACAATACTCGAGAAAAACATTACAGACTTATGCCTCATACTCGAATTATTTCGCTGAGCAAAAAATATAGAATGGTTTTTCTTGTGGATGTAACGTCATCTCTAGCAACAATTGATTATGCAACAGAAAATATTATTATGTCAGAAGTCTTTGAAACGTAATACCTTTTTATTTCTGTTGTTCATCTATTTCTGTATAATATATAATTATTATATTTTATATTAATTTTGATAATTCAGTTTACGAAAATGCCTAGAAGGACTTGCCCAGTCATTTGTTTTACAAGATCTGGAAAAAGACCAGGCCCTTTTGGTATTCAAAAGTTTTCAACCTCCTCGATTTGAATCTATTTATATTCCGTAATCATTGTAATTTCGAATATTGGAAATTAGGTTGAGCCCGAAATATCAATAATAGTTATAGCTGAATGCTCGCAATTTGCCTCGAATGCAAATTTAATACCGCTATTAGCAGAATTTCCTACAATGCGGGTTCTTCTTCAAGGAATTGTAATAACACAGAAATTATTACCGCAAATAATTGCAAAGTTACAAATAGAACTCGCAAAATTCCAAGACAGTTTGGCTTTATTTCGTCAAAGGTTAAGACGAAAAGATTTTGCTGTCGCATATGTTATGGATGTTGCAGGACCCAAAACTGAGGAATTGGCTGACGTGGCAGGCTCAGGAAAACCACTTTTCGATAAAAAAGATAATATTTGGAAATTAGGATCAAGTGGCGGCAATCTGTCTTATAGCTTAAATGCGGGCTTATTTGCAATGGATTTACTTCCCAATGAAGGACTACCTTCCTTGGTTATCATTACAGATGGTGTGGTTAAATCTAATCTCGCAAATATGTCAATTGATGATGATGTTCTTCAACGCCTCTCCAATAAAGGCATTAATTGTAATATAATTCAAGTTGGATCCAGTCAAGGATTCAATCCTGGATGCAATTTTGGTCTAGTCCCTGATAATGAAATCTTGCGATTTGTGGCAGCTGCGACTTCCGGTCTTTTTCTTTACTCATCCGATTGTCCAAAGATCGCTATTAGCAGTGATAATTCAAAAATAAATAATTCTCTTTCGCCAAATTTTTATCACAAATGCTTTCTAATGAAAGAATTCAGTTTTAACAAGAAAAAAGGTGTATCGAGATATCCGAGTATTCCAGGTGTAGAAGAACGTGCTATTGATGTTCCCCGTGAAAGATATGTCAACGGGGAGGATCATATGCTTGAATTTAATTCTTACAAATTTTTTCCTTGGGATCCAAAAAGTGAACCTCCGGCAGTTGAAACGATACTGACAAGGTTTCAAGAATACTCTTTGCCTATTGATGTTCAACTATTAATAGCAGCTCGCATACGACAAGGATTTACCATTGATCATGTAGTGCTTAAAGCTGAGAAGCTTCATATTACCATGTCACGTCTTTGGCTTCCAAATGTTACAATCCAGTACAAAATTAAGGCATTATGGGCAGGTGAAGCAAAAGGAATGACTCGATTAAAATCACCAAGAATTGAGATTAATGTTTTAGCCTACACATTATTTGCTTTATATTTTGTGAATTTTCAGACAGCGCAACAAAATAACGATCCGAGTCATCCATTATTCTCGAAAGTTATAAGAATGCTAAAGTTTTTGACCACAATTTATGAAACGGATGATTTATTCAAGAAGCATCTTTATTTCAAAAATTCAAAGGACAATAATAAAAGTTATATTCATCGCACTACTGAGAACATTAATCCACAATCTAACCGTCTCGAAAATTTTAAACAGTTTCGTGATTCTCTCGAACAGAATCATTTTCATTGGGCCTATGAAGAAATTAAATTCGATTATCTTTTTGCGCCGACGGCAGCTTATCATATGAAAGTATCCATGCCACAATCTCTTGCAACAGAACGTCTATGTAGAAAAGCATTATCGAAGATTCGTGAAAATTTAATAACTTCATGGGAAAGTTTTTCCCCCTCAAACAATGTATACGTGAAATTCATTGATAGGGGTGAAAAAAGTTTATCAACAACAAGCTTTTGTGAACTTCGTCTTGATCATCAAATCGGCTGTTTATGGAATGTGAAGCTGGCATTTTTTAATATGGATGTATCCCATCGTCAACATGCACGCCAAGATATTATCAATATCTTGACCAAAGTACAATCAAATGAAGACAATGACTATACAATACATATATGTAAAAGACCTTTATCAGGATTATTAATGAAAGCTCTGAATATTTCCTCGGAGGGAGACTTTTCTGTGGGTATCGGACTAGAAACTAGTTGTCATCCTATTGCGCAATCATATTTAAGACATTACAGAAGGGCTTGGCTGACAGATCTTGATGAAGAGGTGTTCTTTAAAGATTTTCGGATAACGCCTATTCAAGATTTGGCTTTTCAATATCTATGTCGAACGAGAATAGATGAAGGTTATATTTTGGTGTATGAGAAAACTGATAAGCAAATATTTTATCGTGAATTACAATATAATGAGAATAATCCGAATATAAAATTCGGAGGTAATCAAAGTAAGGTTTGTGGGATTCTATATCAAGTTTTCAAAGACCCGTACAATGGCGAAATAATTACAGAATTATGGATGGAGCCAACTCAAGATATAGATTTGAAGGATATTTATAATTCTATATCAAAGCAAATCCAAGAAATTGATCGGCTAAAAATTTCTCATTTAGTGACTTTTGATCAAATTTATTATATTGCAATCGCTAATTCAAAACAGGCGCAGCAACAAATTCTAAATCCTAATTCAGGAAATATCCACGAGAAAAATGCACAATTAGATAAACTCCCTCTTCCTGAACTCTTTGATCTAACAGCCCTGCTTCATACTAGCAAGCTCCTGACCGCAAATTATATTATTCCCCTGTTTAAAGCATCGCCAGTTTATAATCTATCGTATCACCATCAAATTGCTGGTAATGTAAATTCTGGAAAGGCATCACCGGCTAATAGCGATATCACCATCAGATCAAGTTTTTTCGATCCAAAATCACCAAAAATTCATCAAAATTCTTTGTCAACAAGTAATCATGGTTCACCTTTGGATCCAAATAAAAATCTATCCTCTCAATTAGATCAACAATTGCATCTTGACGTGTATAGCTCTTATCGCAATTCGATAGCAAAACTTAATTGGGGTGCTGATCGAGATTTTGCATTATTTCACCTATTTCTCGAAAAGGCATTTTCAAAATACGCCGATGGTGAAATAAATACAGAACATGAAAGCTGCAAAAAAGATCAATTGTTAAACCGAATCTATACAGCGTTGTCAGAATATATTGATGTCAACAAAATAACATTGCAGTGGACTCGAAATCTACAAGAAACTAGATGTTTCGTCAAAATGATCAAAATGAGTGATCCTGGCTCGTTCATCCTTATCAGTATTCCTTCTTTGAAAATTATCTTAGATAGATTACATGGATTTTTCGAAAATAACCAGAACCCATTTTATTTAAATATCCTCTTGTTTTTGTGTAAAAGGCCCCGTCCTCTACGTGGAGATGATAATCTCGTTAATTATCTGCATCACAATTTTGAAAATATAAAGATTATCAAACCAATATCGATAGGAACTTCATTCAGAAATTTTACTTCCAATATTGAAAATTATTCCTTTGATCCACATCTTTTTGTCGGAAGTTTTGAAGACGACCATAAAAATTCACTTTCATTCGATGAGGCGACTAAAATAACTCGCGGAATAACAAACCTTTTTGCATATAGTTTCACTCAATCCATATATGCGAGCATTATTCAAAAACGATGCGTTGATCCTAGTGATCTAAGAAAAGCGATTGACACTTGCGTAGAAGTACATACTGTTGACATAGATATAACTGGATATGTAAATGTTCATCTTCAAGCTGCTCGCAAAAGCCTTGATGGGTAAGGAAATCCTTTTAATTTATCGTGATTTCAAAATATATTTTCAACACAGATTTACTTCTATCTAGGGACGAGGAAATAGAAGTTAATCAAAAATTCATTACCGTACTCGGTCGATATTTTGAACCTGCTACCTTCATTGATCCAGAATTACAAAACATATATTTTTATCGAGCACCGATCAAAAGAGCAAATGTACAAATTTCACAGAGCCCAGAAAAGGACATGGCTCCAGATCTCTTGGGAAATTTCGAGGAAATTTTTACCTGCGCAGAAAAGCCGCTCTTTATCAGATTAGAATGTACATTCAAGAAAGCGGCAGCGCCTGTTCTTGATACAGAATTTCAGTTAAACAAAGATTTTCTATTGGAAGACGCACATGTTCTTGATACTGACTTTCAGTTACATAAAGGATATCAATTGGAAGATGCAAACTTCGTAAAATTTACAGTATCAACTTTACCTACCAGTTACTCATGTACAGTAGATGGGAAATTTTATGACTTTTCACCTAAGAATGTTGGTACTGAAGAGTCACCTGTGGCTTCTACTGATGGGACTACTGCAACTTTACACATTATTTGTTTGACTTTACCACCTTTCAATGAGGAAACTGTTGATTTATCATCAGGGTTTAAAGATATTCAAATAGACCGTTATTCTAGGTAAAATATAAATACTCAGCACTAAAGTTCTTCCTATTTCTATTCTTAATTATTTTTGCTAATTTATCATTTAATTATATTTAGTCAATTTGAACAAGATAAAACAAGTTCAAATTTTAAATTTGTGCTCAGCCAAGATAAAATAGAAGCTTTAGAGGAAACCCAATCGCGTATCGAATGGCTGTTAAACGAAGAAATATTGCATGGACTCTTAAAATCTCATCCATTCGACAGAACTTTATTGAAATATGTGCAAATGCAGTTGGAGAGTAATAATCAATTTCTAGATTATCCAACCGCCATCAATATGCCTTTATCTTTTGTCCGTCGAAAGAAAGGACAGGAAAAATTCTTGCAAGAATTCCAAAAGGCGGATATGTCGCCTTATTTACTTAACCAAGTCGAAGATTGTTTCTATCTAAGCGAGAGTGCTGAAGTTGGTGAATCATCCTCAGAATTGACCAGAACTCTACCGGATACCTCTATGGATAGCAATCCAATAAATGAAGACGTACTTGAACACTCTCCTTTAAACAATGACCTAAGTCAAATAGAATCGAATGATACTGTATCGAGCTCCACACAAAATGAAAATATATCTTACAATGACTCTGAATATACTTATAATGGAGGTGACGAACTGTGCGGAGGTCTTGGAATCAGTTTCGGTTCTCCTGACACAACCATTCCAAATACTGCTCAAAAAATTTTTAATTCGCTAGATAAAAGAAATTCTTTAGTGAATCAAAAATTCTGGCTCTTACTTGTGCCACAAGAGTTTAATATAGTGATTTTTTATTACTCAAAAATTGTTACAGCTGCCGAACGTAATGAAATTATAAAATATGTTCAAAATTGCATTGAAAAAGTTCTTAAACGAGTAAACCAATTGGTTTTACTGAATGAGCTCCAAGAAACACACCGTTGCAGGTAATGAAATTAATTTATTAATTCGATCTCTTAAATTTTGTATTTATTTTATTTCTTTTCGTTTCAACAGCAAATATTTAGTGGCGCCACCTGAAAAAACAGCCGAATCCATATCGTCATCTTCATCGGAAGAAAGTGATACAGTTTCTGGTGCTCAAACAACGGGAATGGATGCTAGTGTTGGCTCGTTCGCAACTTTAAATCAATTTAAACCCGGACAATTCGAATGTCCTTTAGTGTTTAGACAAACTTTCTTACTTCATCGTAGATTACGACCTAATCATGCTCTCAATAGTATCACATCAACAGTTCTCGATCCATTTGCTATCACCAATAGAAAGCATATGTTTGTAATTCCAAAAGGAGATTACATAGTTTATCTTAAATTATCAGAGATAGGAGTGCCAACTGTCCAGGAATTTGAGAACACGATCGAGGATTCAAACACCAGATGTGGATATTCACCATACATTCACTCCTCATTTATTGGCGTTAATAGTAATTCACAAGAAATTTATTCAACCACTCCAATTATTGGTTCAGATGACAATAGAAGGTCTCCATCGAATAAAAGTGCTAGTCCTCGGACATCTAATACCGTTTCTCCTAGTTCAAGGAAAACGGGAACTGCACAATCTCGCATCTCTAGTGAAACACGTGAATTGTTAATGGAAGTTTACGGAGTAGATTTGCCAGGACGTGAAATTACGGAAGAATTAGTGAATTTATTGGATAATAAATTAACTAATACTGTCACTCTCAATGTAATCTCCAGCTTTCTCGCAAGAACTCGTAATGCAAAACCAACTTCTGCAGTAAGCTTTACTAACTGATTATATATTTAATGTGAGATTCCTCTGATAAGCAAAATATTTAACATTATTTAGGATGTGGATTTCATTTTACCAGTTCTCAAGGCGCCCACGCTTAAAAGAATGCTAAAAATACCGGGTTCAGTTAAAAATCTTTATGCTCTCTTATTTTTTTTCAAACAAAATTTGTCGAGTTATCTAACTGTCTTGAATGGCCCTGATGTGATCAACACTTTACATCGTCATCACATTGTAAAATATGGTATGGAAATTTTGAAAAATTGGAACGTCGAAAGTGGAAGGTATGTGAATTGGTCACGTCAAAAAAAGTAGATTTATATTTTATATTGATAACTATTAGCATACGCAGGAAAACTATGTCATCGGCAATTGATATTTATCTGGGTGAATTTGCATTTTATTACAATTGCGTTCAAGCAAGAGTTCAATCTTTCGAAATCGCAATAGGCCAAGGAATATCCGGTATTTGTTTGACTTTAATGAACCAAAATGGCAGACCTGTGTTCGAAATCTCTCCATCAGATTCTATTATTGATGATGTTGAAAGTAGTAAAAATGATGGTAATGCTGAAATGATTAAGATCGTCAAAGCTTTATTTGATGATCTAGATCACATACGTCTAGATCCTTCAACAAGAAATACCAGCTTTAATGGTAGTAATGAAAGCTCATACAGTATACTTGTTGAAATGTGGTCACAAGGGAATCTTAATTCAGACACGTTAATGGATAAGATCGAGCGGAGTTTTAAGCAAACTCTCTGCGACTATTTCATTGAGTTATCTATAATAAAAGGTTTATCGCATGATACATCTCTAGAACAAAAATCATTAAATTTGGATTCAAATCAATCTGCATCTACTATTCAACATAATTCAACAACACATCTTGAACTTCACATCCAAAAAACTTTTATTGAACCATCTTTGATGATACTCAAACAATCTGCAGAAATAGAAAATCCAGCAATAAAATCTTTGGAAATGGCGGCAGATATGCCTTTCTGGATTATGGATGATTTTTTAAGGGAAATTTATGAAGTTTTATCCGAAGTACATAACAACTTTTTTCCTATTATTTTAAGGAGAACAACACCCTTACCAGATTTATGTGTAACCGACGTTCAGAATCTCTATGAAATATATCACCCATCAAAGACTTTCGAAAAAAGAGACATTACTTCTGCCTCTTATTCTAATCAGTATTTTTTGATCAGTGGTATTAAGGAACTTTGCATGCGATATGGGTCTTCAATTAAATTATCTGAAGATCGTCGAGGTAGTTTAGGCAGTGATTTCTCAATTTCGCGTAGAAGTTCTATTGAAGATTTTTCACAAATCACTGATGCAAATGAAAAGATTGGATCGAGTTATCGAAAACAGAAAAGTTTTTCTGAAGATTCCGTAATGTTTTATGCGAGTGGAACTCCTCCCATGACATCATTTGAACATAATAATGCACAGATTTCGTCAGATATGGGTCGATCTTGTTTTTTAATTATGTCAATCGATGGCTTCACTATGTCCGTTTATACTTATAATTTACAAAAACATTATAGTGAGCAAATATTCACTTCATTGAAAAATATTTCAAATTGGCACAATGATCGCATGCAGCTATTGAATAATATACTTCATCAAAAAATGGGGTTGTTTTATCATATTGATAGTATATCAAATAATCAAATTCCTCCAACTTATACGCAATTCCCGAGTACTCCACACACTCCTCGCATAGCTCCTTCACCTATGCCAGGCTCTTCTGCATTATTCAATAATACTCAGAAACCGCCGCATGTTGAGAATCTTTTGAAGATTCAACAACAACAGCAACATACTTTATCAATCTCGTCACCGATGGCAACACAGACATCACCTAGATCAGGAATAATAGCTCAAAATATTGCAGATTTAAGTTATATTAATTCGCTAATTCGCGAAAGATTTCCACAACGGCCTGCTAATGATAGCCGATCATCGTCATCTGAAGAAACAAAGAGAACAACATCAAATCAAATAGATATCCGACACGATTCAGCGTCAACAGCGGTTAATAATTCAGAATTAGAAAAGATAACAAATAATGTTCCTTCGATATCTATATTAGAATTAAATGAAGTACTTAAAGATGCCTTTGTTGAAACGAGAGTCGATAGTATTGACGGTAATGAGCGAGATGCACTTTTACGTCATGGGCCTCCATTTATGAAGACTTGCATTCGTCAAGTTAAAGTTTCACAGGCGCATGAAAATGCATTCAAAGTTTATAAAAAATGGGTAAAAAGATATCAAGAAGGGGAAGATACCACCGAAATTCATACAATCGCACGTTCCGATTTAGCAATTATATTTAGAACCTCACGTATTTTACATTTTTGCAGAACTCCTCTCCTTTTCGGAGGAACTCCTACTAATCGTATTCAAATAGAATCGATTCTATCGCAACATAAACAACAAAGATTAAATATTCTAAGTTGGTATCAAACCATGATTGAAACTTTTCTAAAAAAGTATGCTTCATATCTTGAAACCATTGGCATGCAAATTGTAATCTTTGGCAAATCAGATTCGAGTTTAGTTGATGATGGGAATAAGGGATTTCCATCGTTTACGTCTAAATTCTTAATCTCTGAGAATACTACAATTGATTGCCCAGCTATTTTTCTATTGAAGGCACTTCAGGGAGGTTCAATTATGTGTGAAGTTAGAATACAAGGAGGATTTGTATGCGTGACACTTTATACACTCAATCGAGGATATGGACGCTCACGAGTTGCCGCGCCTGGATTCGACATTATAGAAGGTGATCGAAATAGCTTGAAAATATTCACGGAGGAATGTGGTCGATTTAAGAAATTAATACATGTCAATTCCTTTGTTTATGATTTTCATTTGAATTATATAAAATATATTCTGGAAAGCCAAAAAAATGTTTCAGCGCCATTCAGTATCTTGGAATTTATCAAAGCATTTATTAATGTATACTCTCGACCTGCAAGTTATGCAGAAAATCGGATTTATTATGATACGTTTGAAAAAATGTCTTCATCAAAAGAACTTTTTTCATATATTGCAAAAAATCCACAGAGATACGGATTTTTTGGAATCACTTTTGAAAATGAGCCTATAGCTTGCTATAAAAATGACTTCGACCAACATCAATTTCATGAACATAAGGAAGGACTTACACCTTTTGGAAAACAACATATATTTATCTTTACTCACGCGGATCAACCTCCACAACCAGAAAAATTAGTATTGGAATATTTTATTATTGTATTAAACCAAGACGATAATTCATCAAAAGTTACTCCTACACAAGATCCCTCTCAACGTATCGATCATGAGGAAGATCGATTTAATCACATTAAATACGCAAGAAAGATTCTGGATTCAATTGTTACCAAGGTTCGATTTTACATTCTAATTAGTGTTTCTTATCTTGATTCTAATTATCTAATTGAAAGTCATAAATAATTTTAATAGGCTATTGAATTCGATAGGCGTGATACGCTATGGCGTCAGTTATATAATATAAAACCCGGATCTATGGCAGGACAAATGAGCTGTGAAGATTTTTTGGAACTTACACAACGATGGCGAGCAAGAGAACTGATTACAATCAATCCTGATTTTAAGCAAATTCTTGAACTTTCACTCGATTGGTTTGACGTTCTTAATTTTCTTAGTACTTATTATAGAAATGATGCTCGGGTACTGCACGAAAATTCCCGTCGTCATTTGCTTATTTTCAATCCACATAACCACGATCTTTTAATTCAATTTGTTTTCAATGAAGAAAATAGAGAGTTAATTGTCAATACAGTATGTCTAGAGGCAATACCCAATTTTGAAGGATTTGAACTTGAATTCGCTGGAGATATTTCAAGGACCATATGTTATATGGTTTGGGAAAAGATGGCTTCTCGTTAGTCAGTTGACATTCTTATAAATAAATTTGGCACGTGATTATTTTTAAATACATTTTCGATTCAATTTTCACTCACTCAACTTTACAAAAGAAGAAATTTTGCAGTTCCATGTCATTCTATAAACCCAAAAACTCTGTTCAAGCTTTGTTAGAAAGAGAAATACATTCTTTTAAACCTAATACCAATCATGCAAATAATAGACAATTTTACACAACTTTGTTTCCTAATGAAACAATATTTGTTGTTAAAGTTCCAAATTTTATTAATCTTCGAAGATTTACGCCCGATGGAAAGGTTATCTCCTTTTCTTTAAAATATCCCTTTATTAAAGAGACAATGCGTTCTTTCATAAAGTTGTTGATTTTCAATAAAATTTTCAACCACATTATAGTATATGATTAGCTTTTCTTCTTGCTTGCGTGTCCTTCTAGTTTACAACTTTGAAGCGATTTGTCTTGATTCAGCCTTGGATGCGAATACTATTGTCAATTCTGACAATGCATATCCTTTTACATAACAACTTGAGCCATGCTTGATAACCTCTTGATTGAATTCTTAACTATAATTTACACTTTTGACAAATATTTCTCGCTTAAATATGAGATAAATATTACAGATAACCATGCCGAAGTTCTATGCAAAGACTTTTGCTTAGTTACTAAGAACAACAAATATGTAAATATTGTTATTTCTATTCAAAAAATACAATTTTATATATTGATTATATAATAATTTTTCAGATGATTCTAGCTTCGTCCATTCATTCACTTTGCTCACCAGAAGAAGCTCGCAAATACCCATGTTCTTTGGATTCTCTTTCAAAATTTGAAGATGTTACCTTTTATCTTATTGAAATCGAGACAGGACAGGTTCCTATCTATCACCAATTTTCTCATTCTTTTCTAAGATTTTTGAATTCATAATCGTTTGCACCTTTAGATATGTGACAAAATAACCTTTGAAAACGAGTGTATTTATTTGTCTCATCATTACGGGGTTGCTCTCATTGGAAATTTGTTCTCTGTACTTTCTGTTCAGAATCAAACAATTCATATACTCCATATAAGGGTAACCTTGTCTCTTGCTCATTATAATTCATTACCGTGTTATTCCTTTAACTGTGTTGTTCACTCATTAGGAAGATGGACATTTTGTTGATGAACGAAGTATTGGATGGTTTAATCTTGAGGACGATGAACTTGTTATGGCAAGATATAGAGAATTTAATGACCAATTTGAAGCTCGAAGACAAAAAGAGGGAAATTCTTACAAAAAAAGAAAACTTTCACATGAAAGTTCTATTTATGAAGAAATAATGCTCCCTCCGCTGACTTCATCCTCATACGAGAGTATAAGTCTAATTGACAGAATGGATTTCGAAGTGCCTTCTGCAAGATTAATGTCACCTACATTACATATTTCAACTCAGACCAATCTTGAAACAATACAGAAATTTACGAACATAGAAGACGACGCAAGCAAAGTTAATATTAAGTTTAATTAATTTATATATAAAATACAAATAAATTAATAGTATCCTTAATTGTTGGAATAGGGTTTGCCTCCATATAGTGGTATCAAGCAAAAACTTCTGGCCTATTTATACAAAAAAGCATATAATGCAAATGATGGGTAGCAGATTATTTTTGTCTTAAGATAAAACAGCCCGAACTCGGTGCAAATTTTCATGTTATTTTTCTATTTAATAGGGGTTCAGCTTTGCGTCATTTTTATCAAATCTTTGAGCAGCTATCATCGCTTGTCATGTGGAGATTACAATTTATTGATGAGTTTCGTCTACTGGTAAAATTTACAAATTTAGATTGCATAATCAGCTATGTAAGTATTAATTATCGATATTTGGTCTTTTAAATCTTTTTAATGAATTTATTGTTCATTTATTTCAAAGCATGCCGAAAACGCAATCAATACAGCCTTCTTTGTAATATATAACTATCAGAAATCTGAGATCGAGTCCGTTTATGATAATGCTTCCGAAGAATTTTTAGATGCTTTTGAAAAGTCAAGTGAAACTTTTCAGCAAATAGCATTTAATGAACCATTTTTATTCAACTCAACATATTCGAATAATTTGTATGCACGAGAAAATCTAAGAAAGCATCAATATGCTGTGCGATATGCTCGAAATGGAGGGTGAGTACTTTGAAAGATTGAAAAAACTCTCGTCTCGATTAAATGAATCAAGCTTATTGTTCATATTACAAAACAGGCCAACACAAGCAATCAAACGTGTATTGGCATGTTTACCCTTTAGCTCACAATCTCGCAGCGAGAGCCCTTATTTTGACCAATCACTTTTTATTTATGATGAAAAGATAATCTCAGCATGTGACCGGTATGAAATATAATTCCTTAATGGCTTTCTAATTCGCGTTGAAAGCATTTAAACTATATATTTTTATTAGTCCCAAACCTTGTCAAGATGGCCCAATAAAGTTTCATTCTCGAGCCACTGGTGAACTCAAATTTCAGATACATTTGACACAGTCAAACCGATCCGGCAATCGGTCAAAGTAAGTTAATTAAATTTTAGCTATTTAAGATTCTTAATTAATTCGCATCTATTAATTATTTAGAAGATATGTGTCTTTTATCTCGCATCCATGGTTTCCATTTATCATATCTATACAATATACGTCGTTGCATCCCATGCATCTTACTGTAATTAATTTTCACGTGAGAGCACCAAACTATTCATGACTTTTTGGCGCATATAGTTTCATAATATTTTCTGATGTTTGTTTATATCTGAGACATTTGTGTTACTGGTTATATGATTTACTTTAAAAATTGATGCTCAATACCATATAGAGCTTAAGTTTTTCCCCAGTGTTATCGCAACGTAAAATTTGTACAAGTCGATAATATTGATTCATAAGAAAAAAAATTCGATAATGATAATGAAACCAAAATTCATCAATGAATAATTTCGTGAAATAATTGTTGGGTGATTGGTGATTGCAACAAGCACATACAGTATGTAACGTAAAATATCAATGAAATACAAACGCGACTTGTAATGCATAAATAAAATAGATGGTACGGTGCAAAAAGGTTCGTACACCAAAAAAAGTGGTAAGATTCCCGGTGGTGATCTGCATGCGTAACCAAACCAAATGGCACCATTTCTACATGTCTGGTCGTACATGTACAAGCCTACCTATCTTCCAAATTTTTTTCTGTTCTGATGGAGAAAAACGACAAAATGTTCCGTTAACAGATAATGAAAAGTTGATGATTATTAACATTCATAATTACTTTTCCAACCTACCGCAATAGATAAAAAGCTCACATTACGCAAGCGTGTTGCTATGGTTACGGATATTTCGGAAAGTACAGTTGGTGTTGTTGTGTCTGATTGGAATCAGCGCAACGATGATAAATTTTCGTCGCATAAAAATCTTGGACGATCTAAATCAGGATCCACTAAAGCGGGATAGTATCATGTGATATGTTATTCGATCCGGATCGTATCATGTGATTTTAAAATCACGTGAACATTCATGATTGGTCGAATCAAATCATGTGAATTATTTTAAGAGTCTGATTGTTAGAATATATTAATGAAAAGAGAAATATTATTTAATTAAGAGTTTGATTATCATTATTTAAAAAATATTTAATTATTAAATATTAAAAATATATATTAATAAAAAAAAAGAAAAATAAATTATTTAATTATTTAATTATTTTATTAAATTATTTTTAATTAAATATAAAATTATTTATATTATTATTTTAAAAATTGAATTCAATAATTTATCTAAAAAATAATAAATATTTTGATAATATCTGTATCATTTTTATCTCTTATTATTTAGTATTTATCTTATATTTTTTTATAAATTTATTTATTTATAACTTACATATTTTTATTTCTTTTTCTCTTGAGTTTGAATAAGCTTAGATATTTTAATCATCTTTTAATACTCATATATTTTAAAGTTAGTTTTTATAGTTGTGATTTATAAAATTTTGAAATTATAATATGTTGTAATAGATGATATATAAGTATCACATACTTACTATATTATCTTTAGTTATATACTATGACTATATTATATTATTATATTATCTTACTATATTATTCAAATAGGTAATTAATTATAATATAATATAATAGAATTAGAATATCTAAAAATAATTTAGATAATTAAACTATTTAGATTATATCTGTTATTTAATATTTTATTTATACTAATTACTAAATTACTAATTATTTGTTACTAAAATAATTAATTAATAAGTTAAATTCTTCTGAAAGATTAATATGATAGATAATGATTTTTTATAAATATAACTTTATAATTAAATATAAATTCAGTAGAATTTATTCTAATATTAATCTACTTTCTTAAATATTATTCATATTTAAAGAAAAAAATAATAAAATATAATTATATAAAATTATATAATTATGTAAATATACTAATAATATTTAATAAATTCTCAAAGAAAAAATGAAAATAACTACTAATAGAATTGAAGAAATATTTTATATAAAACTAAAAACTATATAAAAAAATAAATTAAATATTAATTATTCACTTTTAATTATCAAATCAACAAAAGTTAAGTTAGTTCTTTATAATAATTACTCAAATATCATATCTGAATATTTTAAATTAAAACTATTTATAATTGAATAATGAGAAATTATTATTAACTTTTAATATATAGAAATATAAATATATATCTTAAAGCTTATGATATATATTAATAAAAAGAATAACTATATAAGAATAATAAAATAATATTAATTCAAGTTAATGCATCTTTTAAAAAAGATTAAAATTAATCTAATAGAATCTCTTCTAGTAACTGATAAAGAAAATTATTATATTATAGTTACTATCAAATATCTAACTAAATAGGCTAAAGTAAAATTTATTATAAATACTTCTGTAACTTTAATCATTCATTTTTCTATAAAAATATAGTAATAAGATATAAATTTTTAAAAAAAATAATAAGTAATAGAGAAATTATATTTGTTAATAAAATAATTAAAGAATTATTAGAAAAATATCAGATCAAGTATAGACTTTCTACTTCTTATCATTCTCAAATAAATAGATTAGTAGAAAAATTAAATCAAACTTTATATATTTTACTATTAAAACATATTTAGCTTTACAAGAAAAATTAGAACTATTATTTATTTTTAATTTTATTTACCTATAGAATAATAAAATAAAGTATAACTTTATTTGAGTTCTTTTAATTGGTATATAATTAATAAGTAATTATACTATTAAATATTAGATTAAAAGATTTTGATAATCTTACTTTTAAAAAAGCTCTTATAAAAAAAATATATAAATTAATTGATAAACTTAAGATTATACAAGAACTAGCTTTTAGTAATATTTAAAAAGAATAATTTAAATAAAAAAAATAATATAATAAGAAATAAAAATTAATAATTTTTTAGATAAGACAAAAAGTATTAATGAAATAAATAGAAACTTAATATTAATATCATAATAAATTTGATGAAAAATAAAAAGAATTATTCTATATTTATAAAATTTATAATAAAAATATATATAAATTCAGAAATCTAGATAAAAAAGTCTTAAAGAATTTTTATAATAATAACTATTTAAAATTATATATTGAATTTAATAATCTAAAATCAGTTATTATAATTAATAATAATTAAAAATTTATAAAGTAAATCTCTCAAAGCTAAAAGTTCTGTAATTAATTATTTATTTATATAGTTAATAAAGTAATATAATAATATAATATAATTATAATATATAATACAGTTATTAATTATTACTAAATTAAATAAAGAAGAAATTAATATTAATTAATTTAATTTATTT